ACTCACAAGATAGGCCTGCGGTCTGTCAGGGTATCTGCAGGTGGGCAATGCAACACAAGGGGGAAACGGTAAGAAAACAGATGTGGCCTTCCTCTCCTCCTCCATCCCCTCCGCCTTCTCCCCCTCCGCCTCCTCCCCTCCGCCTCCTCGCCCTCCGCCTCCTCCCCCTCCACCTCCTCCCCCTCCGCCTCCTCGTCACCATCATCTGGAGGAATGGGGCAGTCCCCATCAGGACTCTTTGGGATACAAGTTTCGTTTCGAGTCAACTCAAAACGGGACTAGTGTCAGGGTATTTCAGGCTATGTACAAGGAGGGAAGGGTGAGAAAGGAAGGGTGAGAAGGGAAGGGTGAGAAGGGAAGGGTGAGAAGGGAAGGGGAAATGGTAGGAAAATCGGGGCTCACAAGGTAGGCTTGCAGTCCGTGGGGGTACTTAAAAGGAGGGAAAGCGAGAGAGATTGTTGGTGGGGGGGGATAGTCCTGGTAAACTTAGGGTGGTGCTGGTAACCCTAAGGTGGGGAATGAGGAGGCGTGATGGCGACCTCACGCCTGCGGCCCGTCTTTGCATGTGTGCCATGCCACAGCGACAGCCGTTCTCCCACGTATGCCACGGCGTTCTCCCATGTATGCCACGTCGTTCTCCCACCCATGCCACAGGGCCTCTTTTGAGTCGACTCAAAAGTCACCTCTTCTGAGTCGACTCAAAAGGCACCCCTTTTGAGTCGACTCAAAAGTCGCCTGTCTTTGCGTGTATGCCATGCCACAGCGACAGTCGTTCTCCCATGCATGCCACGGGGCATCGTTCATGGCCCCACCATGGACAATCTCACCATCTCGAAACGACCCTGCCGTTACAAGCCATGCCATCATGTGCCAATCCATTACCCCAACGCACCTCCCACACCCCAGCACACCTCCCCACACCCCAGCACACCTCTCCACATCCCCCAGCGCACCTCTTCATGCACGCCATGGTCGACCCCACCACGCCTCGCAGCCCCCCTGCCAGCGCCGCGAGCGCCGCACTCAGCTTCTCCCGCTCCGCCCCTGCCAACCCGCCCTTCCACTTCCCCGCCGCATGCGGCGCGGATGCGGAGTACGGCGTGATTGTTACGCCTGTGGCTGCAGCGAGCGGCCCCGCTACACTGCCCAGGAGGGTCTGGGCGTGGGCCTTGGGGAGCGGGTTGTAGCCCAGCAGCACAAGCACCAGCCCTGGGTGGTGCCTTTGAAAAAGCACAAACAGCCGCCCGTAACCCTGAGGTAGTGGGAGGGGAGAGGAGGGAACGCGAGGGACGGGAGCATGAGTTTTAGAAGCGGGTTGTAGCCCAGCAGAACGAGCACCACGCCTGGGTGGTGCCTTTGAAACAGGACGAACAGCCACCCGTAACCCTGAGGTAGTGGGAGGGGAGGGAAGAGGATTGAACGCGAGGGACGGGAGACTGAGTTCTAGAAGCGGGCTGTAACTGTAGCCCAGCAGCACAAGCACCAGGCCTGGGTCGTGCCTTTGAAACAGGACGAATAGCCGCCCGTAACCCTGAGGTAGTGGGAGGGGAGGGGAGAGGAGGGAACGCGAGGGACGGGAGCCTGAGTCTTAGAAGCGGGTTGTAGCCCAGCAGCACGAGCGCCAGGCCTGGATGGTGCCTTTGAAACAGGACGAACAGCCGCCCGTAACCCTGAGGGGAGGGGGGTGGGGCGGGAGGTAAACGGAGGGAAATGGAGGGGAGCGAAGGGGTGGGGTGATCGCTTCCAAGAGCGGATTGTAGCCCAGCAGCACGAGGAGAGGAGGACCACGTTTGGGTCGAGTCTTTGGAACGGAGCACAAACATCCGAACGTAGCCCTGAGGCTCGGGACGGACGGGAATTCAAGGGGATGACAGGGAGTAGCAGGAACCGATCGGCTTCAGGTTTGAGTGTGGGCATTGGGGGGTTAGCGAGGGATTGGGGGGTTAGCAAGGGATTGCGGGGGGTTCGTGAGGCAAAAGGGTCGCGAAGCATCTACAGAAGCATATTACCTCATAGTATTCATGCCATGCTCGTATCATACCATGCACTGTGGCAGAAGATGTGAGCGCCTGGCCGCAACGACTTCTGAGGCGCCTCAAAAGTTTCCCCGCACAATACCATGCACTGTGGCAAAAGATGTGAGTGCCAGGCCTCAACGGACAAACGCCTCATCCTCCCCTCTCCCCTCTCTCCACCACCCAACCCCTCCTTCTCCCTCTCTCTCTCTCTTTCCCCTTCTCAAAACCCCACCCCCCTTCCTCCCCCCTTCTCCTGCCCTCTCCGCCTCCCCTGAACCCTCTCTCTCTCTCTTCTCTTTTCTTTCTCTCAATCAAGAGATTGACTAAAAAACACTCATCTAAGGGTTAAGGAGTAGCAGTTTCGACAGCCGCGTAGAGCTCAAACAAGCTTTCGCATTCTTATCACATGGACGGAAATGTGAACGCGACAGAATCAACGGCCAAACGGACACACTGACTGACAGGACGACAAACGGAATAACGGACCGAAGTACGACGGGAGGGACGGAGAAATGACGGACGGTGGGAAGGGCGAACGACGAGCGACGTGCAGCATATGACGGGAAACAATCGCCTCTAGACCCTAGGCTGTAGGACCGCTAGCGAGGTGAGTTTTGAGTCGACTCAATGCAACACATGACGAACGACGAGCGATGAACGAAATGCAGCACATGACGAACGACGAGCGATGAACGAAATGCACTACATCACGGGAAACAAGTGCCTCTAGACCCTAGGCTGTAAGACCGCCGCAAACCTATCCATCTCTGCGTGCATGTTTTTCCATCTCTGCATTGATCCCCGGAAACTCTATCCTCACATGGTGTTTTGTGCTTCTGAATGTTTTTTTTCACTCTCTTCCCGAATCCTCATGCGACTGTTTTGTTTCCGATGATGCCTCGACTGAAAAAGAGCAACCGGATGCTCCCTAGGTGTATTTTTTAGTCGAGTCCAAAAACGTCGAAAAAAGTCAAACCGGATGCTCCCTCCCTAGGCTCACCATGGAATACTGTGCGAAATGGCGTGGCAAATTCTCCAGAGCCTTCGGCAATGCCTCGCGGAAAGCGTCCGCATCCCTCCCATAGTCCGCCAAGATGTACGCGCCATTAGCCGCTCCGATATAACCAACAAGCTCCTGCTCCTCCTGAGGCTCGCTCCCATCCGCTGCTCCATTATCGGCAGCCGGCTTGTCCGGATCCTCAGGAGCCAATGGGCCTTCCACGTCATCAATTACTTTGCTAAGTGCTGGAATCTTTTCTTTCGTTGCGTTAACAATCCCATTTTCTTGAGCGTGAACAGCTCCTGGGACGTTGGGTCGTTGGGCCTCCACCTCTTTATCCATGGCGGAAGTAACGCGACGACGCGCGCATTTAGAGATAGAGCATCGATAAATACGGGGCGATGAAACCCTCAATTTTGTCTAGGGACGTCAGACGACAAAATCAAAAGGACGTCAGCCAGCCGTCAGAACGGGCTTGAGCCTTCTAATCTTGGTGGAATTGCCAACTTAGTTCCAGCTCGAACAACACTAGTTTTGCAGAACCCAGAAGCTGGTGGTTGGGGCCCAAGATCGACGAAACCTGAGTGGGGAACGAAGGGGAAGCCCTGACGTTCAGTGCGTATTCGTTGACATATTTGAGGCGAAGTAAAAACAAACGCACGAGTTCTTTGTCAGCCTGGTGTCGTTAAGGGATACCTAATACCCAAAGGCATAAGGTCACGTCCGAAGAGTGAGTTTTCGTACAATACGTTATTTAACCGTAGCATGCTACTTTATCCCCAAATTAAACCTTCCCGACCACAATAAGACGGACCCTTCGGACACGCCTGCCCTTATCCATTTTCCATCTTCCCTTGGTTCTTGGTTGTACTTTCCGCCAGTTCCCAGCTAAGTTAGTACATTTCTTGAAACGTGGACAAACTTTATTCATGAAAGTTTCCTGAGGTCTGGTAGGTCAGATATGCTAAACATTTGGGGCACGTGGCGTTTGTTCAACTTGGGGGATGGAGCAACGACCTGACCTGATGCTGCTGACTGCGGAGTGCCAGTTCAGGCGCCGAACTCTAGCACTCTCCCACGCACATCAACGCGAGAAACCGCTCCGTACCGCACCCTCTAATCTGCACCCTAGAGCTTGCCAACTGGGCGACCTTTGCCTGAAACAAAAGGCAGAAGTATAGCATGGAGGTCGTATTCCAGGCTGTTACGAACAGATTCTACACTAGAAGGGTAGCTACCCCTGATTCATAGAAGTCAAGGTGCGTTAAAGCATGAGTTCGGAAACTAAGAAGAACTGATCCCGTCTTCGGGGATTCCCTTGATTTCCGAGTCCCGTGACTTAGAATCGGGACGCGAGCAGGGTGGATTTCTAATCAGTTTCGGAAAAATTGATGGAGATTCTGAAAGTTTTGGGACCTGGCTCGGGAACGTCTGGAATTCCCCACTTCAAGGTTTAACCTACGAAGCAGGCATTTACAATTCCGATCCCAAAAATTCTGCGACGAACACTTCTGTTCGAAGGCAATAGTTTCGAGGCCAGGAATGTCTACTGATGGATCTGTCACGGTTGCCCGCTGATGACGCTGAAATTGGTCTAGCCAATTGAAACTAGCCAGGAAGGAACTGATGCCAGAAACTGGAGTGGGGAAAGGCGACAAGATTTTGCGGGTCGTCGTATCACGTGGTACCATAAATGCTCCAGGAGGGGACGCCATTGGCCGTTGATTGGGCATTGTACAGTAGTGCCCTCGGTTTCATGTACTGTACAGTAACAATAACTGCACTGTACTCTAGAACTTGGTTCAACGAACTGGCCTTCCAAGTGAGGGTGCGCAGAACTGGGGGGACTAGGGTCTGAATATGTAACATTTGTAACTTTCTTATAAGCTGGCTCTTTCCATTATGCACTCATATTCGTATCGCCTTGCTAGCTCTGCCACCTATGCACTCTGTTATTTCTCTTCAGGGCGTGTCATAAGCGTTCATACTCAATTCACACAGCCTTCCATTTACCTGAAAATCACTTGTGACCACACGATTTTTGTTTTGGGAGGGTAAACACGATGGGGTTCGCTTCAATAGGGTTTGCAGAGTGCGTGCGATAGTACATGTGAAACACGTAAAATATCTCAACTGGTGCTCCTCTTTTTCTTCGTCAAGCCGTTCGTCAGTTGCTGTTGTTAAAATTATCTAAGTTATAATTTAATATAGGCTTGGTAGGTTGTTACTGAACCTTTCTGTAGAGGGTACAAACCCCTCCTTGTACTCCTCTCTCTTCCTAATCCAACTCCTTTTCTCTCGACACTCTCGCCTACTCTCCTAGCTAAAACCCGCCGCCACATTCATGGCGGCCTTCACTACCTCCTAGCCTAGTCCTAGCCTTTCGATAGCTGTTACCAGACGCCCTGGGAGAAACATGTACCGTGCAGCGAAAATTGCGAGTCCTCAAGGATGGCCTCGTCTCAGTTGGACACGCTGCGGTTTTTGTTTGATTTTCGGTGTAGTCATCTGAACAGTACCACTTGATGACAATCCCGTGTGAATTCCCCAAAATCAACGCTTATGACACGCCCTCATTTCGCCTTCATTCTTGTGAACAAATTCCAAGGGTAACTATAGCCCTGTCTGTTAAAATATATAAGTTATAATTTACTATAGGCTTGGTAGGTTGTTACTGAACCTTTCTGTAGAGGGTACAATCCCTCCTTGTACTACTCTCTCTTCCTAATCCAACCCCCTTCTTTCTCTCGTCAACTTTTCTCCTCACGCTCCTAGATCTACTTTCCTCACGGCATTCCATGGCGGCCTTCCTAGTATCCTAGCTAAGCTAGGTTCCTAAGTTTAGTTAGTGTCCTAAGGTTCTTTGAGATGGTATCAGAGCAGGAGATCCTTCCTGCTGGACCGCCTACTCACGCTTCTCGCGCTGCCATGGCGCTTGTGTCGTGCCGCTGGCCGCGTCGTGCCGCGGCCGTCTCGACGCACTGCTGTGGCGTCGCGCTGTCGTGCCGTCGCTTCCGCCGCGCATTCTCTCGTCACTGCCTTCCCGCCGTGGCGGCCATGCCGGCCTGTCATGGCGGCTTCGTCGTGCGGCCGTCGCCTCCTCGACGCCCTGCCGTGGTGGCGTCGACGCTTTGCCGTGGCAGCGTCACCTTTGCTGCCGTTGCAGCGTCGGCGTGCCCCCACACCGTCGACGCCGCGCTCCTGGCGGCGTCGTCATGCTGCCGCGGCAGTGTCGATGGGCGCAGCGGGCAGCACGCCGTCGTAATCGCCACCTGCCCGCCCTCCTGCCAGTCAGCGCCGCGCCACTTATGGCGCGTCGCTGAAGACTCGCCCCGCCCCTCCCCTCCCCCCCCCCCCCACCTCCACCTCCTTCCCGTGCATTCCCCTTTTCTTGCTGCATCCGACGACTGCCTCATGAGAGCCCTGCCCACCGCCGAGGAGACTGGACATGCCGCCGAGAGGGCGGGGGCCGCTGCACCGGCCGCTGACGTTCGAGCCGCCGCCGCCGCTGTTGCCGCTGTTGCCGCTGTTGCCGCGGTCCTGGCACTGCCGCACGCCGCCGACGCCGCCGCGGTCGTCACTGTCACCGCTGCCACCATTGCCATCTTACGGGCCGTGGGAGCTGCCCTCTTTCGGAGTCGTAGCGGCTCCTGCTGGGAATGGGGGTGCTGGGCTAGGGGGTGTGGGTGTGGGTGTGGGTGTGTGCGTGGGCATGACCCTACCAAGCCTAGGGGGTGTGTTAAAATTATATAAGTTATAATTTAATATAGGCTTGGTAGGTTGTTACTGAACCTTTCTGTAGAGGGTACAATCCCCTCCTTGTACTGCTCTGTCTTCCTAATCCAACCCCTTCTTTCTCGTCAACTTTTCTCCTCACCTCCTAGATCTACTTTCCTCACGGCATTCCATGGCGGCCTTCCTAGTATCCTAGCTAAGCTAGGTTCCTAAGTTTAGTTAGTGTCATAAGATTCTTTGAGACTGTCCCCTAGTGCACTGCACTTGATCGCAACTGGAGCGCCCCCAAACCCTTATCATGATCGTGCAAGGCACTCTGTTCTAAGCATGCTCCTAGGCCCTAGCTTGCCTTACCATACTACTCTTGGTGTGTCTCATATTCAACATTGTATTCTACTATCCTTGTGGCAATGCGTCACTAAACAGCCGACCGTTCTTGGTCAGACGAATTTCATCTGATATGTCTTGATGCTTGGTGTTGTTTAGATTTGGTGAGGATGAGGAGATTTGCGAATAAAGGGCTTGTGGGATACAGTGTTAGAGTAGTGGGAAAAAGGTGTGAGTAGGAAGAGGGGAGGGAGAATACAAGTACAAATATTGTCCCCTCAAAGAACTGATTTAGCTAGGCTATAACAAACATATTTAAACTAACTAGATATGTTTATACAGAATATATGTTTGTTGACACACCCCCTAGTCTAGGTAGAGGCAGAGTTTAACAAACTAAGCACTGTCGTGAAGGTAGGCAAGGTAGGAATAGGTGAAGCCATGAATATGGCGTGAGATATAGATCTAGGAGGTAGGCGAGAAAGTCGAGAGAAAAGAGGGCTAGAAAGAAAGAGAGAGGGATTCAAGGAGGGGTGTTGTACCCTCTACAGTAATGTTCAGTAACATCTACCAAGCCTACACTTATATAATAACTTATATAATTTAACAAGCCCTACTAGTTTGGCCTCTGGTGAAGATAGCCAAGACAACTCAGGGCAGCACTACTAGTTTGACCACTGAGAAAAGAGGCCACAAGGCCAATCAACAAGACTAACAAGACATGCTGGTATAGGCACAGAAAGTACAAGCACGAATAGCATGACTCAGGATACAAGGAGCGATGCTGCTACGGAGACTAGACCAAGCTGAGTACAGAACCGCTCATGGTCACGAGACGCAAGTGCCTTGGTGAAGATATCAGCGGTGTTCGCTCAGAGGCCAACTGTACTACACGAGCCTGACCGCGCTGCTGTAACTGATGCAGCAGGAAGTACCGCAGCTGGATATGGCTTCGCCCTGCCCTCAAGTCGAGCCTCTTGACATAGGATGCTCATACCCCTATTGTCAGCAAACAGGACAGGTGCAGACCTAGGCTGCTCAGCTAAGTCTGTAAGAAAGAACGTCAGCCAGCGGGGCTCCTGAACGGCCATGGCCCAAGCGTAGATCTCTGCCTCACAACTGGACTAAGATACAGACGATAAGCTAGTAGACCTCCACGAGACTGCACCAACACCAAGACTAAAACAGTACCCTGAGAAGACCTGAGCGTCTCCAACTCGTCAGCCCACGACGCGTCTGTGTGTCCACTAAGCACCACTGGCTCCCGTCCTCCTAGCACAAGCCCCAGTCCTGATGTACTTGCCAGATACCGTAGTACCGGTAGCCGACCAGTGGTCGGGTGCCTGCCTGTCGCAACAAAGCGAGCTAGGAGACTGAGAGGGTACGCTAGATCTGGTCGAGTGCAGGTCATCAGGTACATGAGGAACCCACCAGCTCTGCATATGGACCACTAGCCTCGACCGGCTCACCTCGAATAGCAGAGAGCTTGTGATCTACAGACAGAGGGGTGGGCT